AACAAAAAACGGATGATTATTCGTCTGATAGTCTCATTGTGTGTACCAGGCTTTCCTCAGAAGCTCAGAGAGACCACACCTAATGTGGCAGAGATAGCTGGGCAAGTGATCTGCACTCAGGTGAGCAGTTGTGATGGGTGAATCTGCCTGGGTTCTTTTCAAGGGCAAGTTCTATGAACAAGTCAAAACATCTGCAAATTGCAGATCTCAATGTGAGCACCAATGAAGTCACAACTAAACAAGGTGTTGTCATACAAAGGACAATGGGAGCTGGGCACTGTTGGAGGGGACATACAAATACAAAATTTTTTTTAAAAAATGCCATTTGGTGGGGAGCAGCTCCTGTAAGGGTGTAACGTGACATTAAACATTAGAAATTTACAATTTCTTTAACCACTTGTCTACCGGTCACTTTCACCCCCTTCCTGTCCAGGCCAATTTACAGCTTTCAGCTCTGTCACACTTTGAATGACAGTTGCAGTCATGCAACACTGTACCCATATGAAAATTTTTATAATTTGTTGAGACAGATAGAGCTTTCTTTTGGTGGTATTTAATCACCACTGGGTTTTTTATTTTTTGCTAAACAAACCAAAAACAACTGAAAATTTTGAAAAGAAAACGTTTTTTTCTTAGTTTCTGTTATAGAATTTTGTAATGAGTAATTTTTCTCCTTCACTGATGTGCGTTAATGAGGCTGCAGTGATGGGCACTGATAGGCTGCACTGATGGGCACTGATAGGCGGCACTGATGAGGAGGCACTGGTAGGTGGCACTGATGGGTATTGACAGTCATCACTGGTGGGCATTGACAGACATCACTGATGGGCACTGATAGGCAGTACTCATATATGGCAATGATTGGCAGCACTCATAGGCGGCACTGACTGGCACTGATAGGTGGCACTGACTGGCACTGACAGTTAGCACTGAAAGGCAGCACAGATGGGCACTTATATGTGGCATTGATGTGCACTGATGGCCACTAACAGGTGGCATTGATGGGCACTGACAGATGGCACTGATGGGGCTTCACTGATCATCACGGCACTGATCATCAGTGCCCTGATAATCAGTGTAGCTGTCCCATCTGAGGAATGCCAATTACCGGCTCTCCTCTCCTCACGAGCTGTCAGCAAGACAGCACGTGAGGAGAGGAATGCCGATAACTGGCATTTCCTTATTTACATGAGATCAGCTGGGATTGGACACAGCTGTTCACATGACAGAGCCGAAGTCATAGGCTCTTTCCCCCTGATCGGTGATCTGCCATGTCCCAGAGACACAGCACACCACTGATCGCTGCGCTGTGCGCCCCTGGAGGGGTGCATGTGCTGTTAGAGTGGGAGGATGTCATATGGCGTCCTCCTAGAATGAGCGAACCACCACCCATCCGTCATTTCCTTGATATGGCGGGTGGGAGGCGGTTAAGTAACCTGCTACAGGGATGGATTAAAACTGCCTTTCAAGTAGCACATTTGTAGAATGTATTACAGCAAAAGTGACATTTACAAAAAAATTACCATTTGCCGTTAAATGACAATTCCCCGATGACCAGTTTTTTTCTTGTTAAAAAAGGGACAGGGTAACCCCCCCCCCCAATCAAACAAAGCACATGGAGAAATAGGCATCACCCTGAGGGACATGTACCAAGACAAAAAATTTATAAATCAAAAATAACATTTAGTGTGCAGTGGGCTCTTTAAATAAGGCCAAAAGAGCAATGTCTAAAAAAAAATTCCTTTAAATTAAGTTCTTGGGGATGCCCTAAGTCTTCCTGTGAAATGGTGCATTTTAGGATGTACACAAGCAACAGTAGTATTTCAAAAAATATATTGTTTTTATTGCAGCTAAATCACAGTTTATATCCATTTTGTACTGTTTGTAATCAAAGCAGACAGGTTTCTCTCTCAACATCTACATCAAACCCTTATCCTAAATGAGGGTATGCTACAGATAGTAAAAGTGGACCCCCCCCCAAAAAAAAAAAAACGCATAGGGCTCTCCCTAAAAATCTATACCAAACACACCAAATAATTCATACTGTAAGTGTCTGGAGTTTTAAGGGTGACCCAATCAGTAGTCAGGGTCATCATTTTTTTGTCATTGACATGATCTACAACACAACATGACTGACGGTGGAGGAGTTACAGAGTAGAACATTTTTTTCAAGGAATTTTTCAAACACATATCTTTCACCATAACTACAAGTGAACATATAAGAGACTGTCCCTTTAAGAACAAATATCATATAGAGTACTATAGTAGATCCAGCCACCATCTATGTATGCTCACCAGTTTTTAAGCTGCATATATGTGAGCAGCAAATAACGCTTGTAAAGTCTTCAGCCAGCGACTTCTGTAAAACGTCCCCAATCACAATTGATCTTTTTAATAAAATACTGCGCCATATGTAAATACCATTTTTGGCTCTGCTTGGTGAACTATTTTCCACCCAGCTCTTCTCAAGTTTTATGGTTTTCTGGAGAGAAGGTTTGACAATGTTTGACAGTTTGATAAAGTGGGACACTTTTATTGTTAAAAGAGTGGTCTTGTAATATAAGCAGACACACATTTATCATTGCCTTATGACTCATTTTAAAGGATAAGGAAATTTTGAAACAGAATTTCAAAAACATTTCCCCCTCCCTTGCCTATCCCTTTTGCTGATTTACACCACCTTCCAATAACCTACCAGCATTATTGCTGAGCCATTGGGCATGCTCCAAAACTGAGGCCTACAGCTCTCACAGGAGGTTGTAGATGTCCCACCCTGCTGATTGACTTGCTTGCTTTCACTTCACTCTAGTAAATGCTTCTATTATTTGTACCTGTTTACTTACTGCACTTAGAAGCGCCTTCTGTGTCTCCACATGTCAGCAATCAGCTACAGGTCCAGAAATCACAGATAACGTATTTGTGTCCCTTTTTAACAGATAATATAACATACTGTATATAGGCTGCAAGTAGGTTATTAGGAACGGAGACTTTTTGGCTAGTAGCTGATTGCCAGGATCTATGGAGATCATTGTATCTCAATCTCTTAGATTGTAAGCTCCAAGGACAAGGGCCCTTCTAACCCTCCTGTATTGAACTGTATTGTTGCTGTATTGTCTCCTGTACAGGGGCGGACTGACCATTTGGAAACTCGGGCACTGCCCGAGGACCCGGGGTCAGTAGGGGGCCCCATGAGTTGCCCCTGGTACCTTTTTCATAGGCTTTTTTGAGTTTGGGCAAGGACACAGGGGCCCCATGATCCCCTATTGCCCGGGGGCCTCATGAGTTGTCAGTCCACCCCTGCCTGGTACCTTTTTCATAGGCGTTTTTGAGTTTGGGCAAGGACACAGGGGCCCCATGATCCCCTATTGCCCGGGAGCCCCATGAGTTGTCAGTCCGCCCCTGCTCCTGTTATATTGTAAAACGCTGAGCAAACTGTTGGCACTGTATAAATCCTGTATTATAATAATAACAATAACAATAATCAGTGCCAGGTACTAGCACCATTATCACCAAGCTCAAAGTCACCACTGCACATATGCAGTAGCATTGATGTTTCAATGTAGACCAGGGGTGTCAAACTGGCAGCCCTCCAGCTGTTGTGAAACTACAAGTCCCATCATTCCCCTGCCTTTGGGAGTCATGCTTGTAACTGTTAATCTTGCAATGCCTCATGGGACTTGTAGTTTGGCAACAGCTGGAAGGCCGCCAGTTTGACACCCGTGATGTAGACCATCACCATATGCAACAGCCATACCCAGTAGGAAGCAAATCCGCTGCAGTTAGGGGAGTTTGTGTTGCAATGGAGCATTGGTCTTCTATTTTCCAGCCCATCAATGATGTGTGAGTTTTATTGAAAAGTAGCAAAACTTTACAATGGGCTTTGGTCAGGAAAATAGAAAGCAAACAGTCAGCCCATTATATGGTTAACAAGCCATTATATTGATTGTCTTATTTTGGTTCATTGCAAATTTTGTTTTGCCAGTTATAAATGTCAGAATTCTAAAAAGTTTGACAAACAGTTACAGACTGACTGGTTCACAGTAGAAATGTGTGAGACGCTTTGTTTTGCATTGTGCAGCACCAGTTGGCACCAATAGATTGATTAAAATAGATGCATTGCTGTAGTTTTAATAGATAGTAAATAAGCTTTCCCTATATGTCTAATGCTATCAATATCAGAGTATAAGAAACAAAACAACGCAAATGATTTTAGTGGATGAAAATTATTTAAGTTTTGAAAGTAGAACCAGAAACAAAATAAACCGCAGTCTGTCACTAGCTTAAGCACAGTTATTTTCAGTTATAGAGTCCCACATGTAACATATTTGTATTGTCTGTTGATCCTACCAGTAAGTCTGTTGTTTTTCATCTTTCTTTAACCACTAGCCTACAGGGCACTTATACCCCCTTCCTGCCCAGGCCAATTTCCAGCTTTCAGCGCTGTCGCACTTTGAATGACAATTGCGCGGTCATGCAACACTGTACCCATATGACATTTTTATCATTTTTTGGTGACAGATAGAGCTTTCTTTTGGTGGTATTTAATCACCTCTGGGTTTTTTATTTTTTCTTAAACAAACCAAAAACCACGGAAAAGTTTGAAAAAAAAACGTTTTGTTATAAAATTTTGTAAATAAGTGATTTTTCTCCTTCACTGATGTGTACTAATGAGGCTGCAGTGATGGGCACTGATAGGCTGCACTGATGGACACTGATAGGTGGCACTGATGGGCACTGATGAGGAGGCACTGGTAGGTGGCACTGATGGGCATTGACAGGCATCACTGATGGGCACTGAAAGGCAGCACTGATATATGGCACTGATATATGGCACTGTTAGGCGGCACTGACTGGCACTGTTAGGCGACAATCACTGGCACTGTTAGGCGGCACTGACTGGCACTGATAGGTAGCACTGATGCACACTGAAAGGCGGCACTGACTGGCACTGATAGGCGGCGCTGACTGGCACTGATAGGTTGCACTGATTGGCATTGAAAGGTGGCACTGACTGGCACTGATTGGCAGCACTGATAGGTGGCACTGATTGGCATTGATAGGTGGCACTGACTGGCACTGATGGATGACACTGAAAGGCAGCTCATATGGGCACTGATATGTGGCATTGATATGCACTGATATGTGGCATTGATGTGGCACTGATAGGCACTGGCACGTGGCACTGATCGACACTGACAGCTGGCACTGATGGACTTTGACAGGTCAGCTTTTGTTTTTTTTTCATGTGTACCATGTTTAAGACAGGTAGTATGTTTCTGGCAGAATCACCAAGTGAATATAAAGAAAAAAAAGCCTTACAAATATATAACTAAAGCTGCCACCACATCCTGAGGACTGCAATATATTATATTTCTTTGGGGGGGTTGGATATACTTTAAAAATCTATGCTTTTTCTCATGCAGGGCAAAGCAACAGGTTTGATTCAATCCCCCACCCCCAGCAGCACATCACCTTTTTGCCCCCCTACCCTCTGTGCAAAGCATGTGAATCCATTGCCTTACACAACTTCAACTTGAGAATGCTGGAGCTTACACATTTACCTACTTCTGGCAGCCAAAACAAACAGTGGGGTAGAGAAGGAAAAATTAGCATATGCTGCTTCAGATTGGGGATTAACCACTTCAATATCAGGCACTTTCACCCCCTTCCTGCCCAGGCCAATTTTCAGCTTTCAGCGCTGTCACATTTTGAATGACAATTACGTGGTCATACAACACTGTACGCATATTAACTTTTTATAATTTTTTTCACACAGCTTTCTTTTGCTGGTATTTAATCACCACTGTGTTTTTTATTTTTTGCTAAATAAACAAAAAAGACCAAAAATTGATCAATCCTGATGTACTTCCGGCCTATCTTATTTCTTGAGGGAAAAAACACCAGGACAGTACAAATAGCCCCCAAATGACCCCATTTTGGAAAGTAGATAGTCAATGGTATTTAGCAAGAGTTTTTGAAGTTGTCATTTTTTTGGCACAATGTTTGGAAAATGAAGACATTTTTACAAAAAAATGTTTTCCAATTTTTTTTTACATGCTGTCACCAGTGCAGCACAGCGCCATTATATAACTGGTGTTACAGTGATCAGGGACACTGACTGGTGATTGTATGCAAAAAAACAAACAATTTTTTAAATAATGTTTAAAATGTTTGTAATTTTTCTTTTTTTATTGAACCAGGATAACCATACATTTTGAAAAACCGGCACTTTACAAGCACCAATATTGCAACAGAAAAAATTATATGAAAACACAATTTTATTTATCCAATTTTAAAAAACAGAAGGAAAAGTACATTCTATATGGCATTGTACGGTGAAGGCGATAGTTTGGCTGCATATCACCAAAGAGAGAAGTGCCAACGCGTTTCAATTCAAACAATTTTTACTTAGAATTTTCTTTAGAGGGAAACAGTAGAATGCAGCAATAACATTCTATAAGATAATAAAATGTTGATCTAAACATCATACAAATATTAAAATTGGATAAATAAAATTGTGTTTTTATATATTTCTTTTGCAATCTTGGTGCTTGTAAAGTCCCGTTTTTTTCAAAATGTATGGTTATCCTGGTTCTATAAGTTGGGATAAGCACCGTTTATATTCAATATAACTGACCAGTAGCACATATTCTAAATATTGTTTTTTTTATTAACCGCTTCCTGTCTGTCCTATAGCAGAAATTACAGGGTTGTTACAGGTGGCACGGGTGCGCAAAATCACGTATATATACATGATTCGCGCTCCTGCGGTGATCATGGGCTGGGGGCACAACCGCCCGCCAACCTGCGGGTGCCAAGATTCAGTGCCCAAGGGATCAATCATCCGATTTAGGCCAGTGATGTTCAGCCTGAATTGGATGATCGATCCCTGCCCTATCAGGGATCTTCCTGTACCTGTGTTTACACTTACGCAGGTACAGGAAATGATGAAATCTTCTCTCTCTGGGCACATTCCATCCCAGAGAGAGAAGAAGGAAGACACATCTGAGTAAAAGCAGCACACAAACTCATATAGGTCACATTTAACCCCTTGATCACCCCCCCCCCCAGTTATCTCCTTCACTGCCATGTCACCAGTGTCATTAGTACAGTGTACAGATTTTTTTACTGATCGCTATATTAGTGTCACCGGCAACTTCAGATAGTGTTAGCATCAGTTAACATCAGTTAGTGTCCCTCCCAGATAGCGTCAGATTGCTGGTTAGTACACCATTCATAACTTTTAACCCTTGATTGCCAGGAAAACGCTCACATACAAAATAAACCTCCATTGCTAGTATAGTGTCTGAACGGATCATTATCTTTGATCAGATCAGCATTATACCAGCGTTAACATTAGTATAGTGTCTCCAAAAATGCAGCGTTAGCAGGATCACCTGCATTTAGCCACTACATTTACCCCCCTCCCCCAGCATCTGCAGTGTCAGTAGATCACTGTCACTTGATATATTGCACACAAAACCATAGTGTTCTCAGAATCAGGCCTGATCTCTGTTAGCACTTGCAGATAAATTTGTTTTTATCAGTTCAAGCAGTCTCTGACAGCCACCTATTTTGTCCCATGAGTCGCATTAGGTACCTAGAAATTTTAAAATGCCATAATGTTCAATGAAAGATACTCTAGTGAAGAGGCCTACAGGATTTTGAGCATGTCAGATGAGAGCGAAGGGGAAGCCTCACTGACAGAATCTGCCTCAGAATACGAACCTGTAGACAGCAGCGGCATCCTGACAGCCAGCTCAGACGATGGAGAAGAGGTCTCTGCTAAGGTCAGATGTACCCAACCCCATTCCCAGGTTGCTGAGATGTTACAATCGCATGATCATTTCTTAGAAAGTAAAAGCTGTGTAAATTCCAGTATCTATACCATAGTTTGTAGATGCTATAACTGTCATAAAAACCAATTAATATACACCTATTGGAATTTTTTTTACTAAAGATATGTAGCAAAATACATTTGGCCTAAATTTATGACAAATTGTGAGTTTTTTTTTTATATTTTTCATAACAGAAATGAGAAAATATATATTTTTTTCAAAATGTTCTGTCTTTTTTTGTTTATAGCACAAAAAACCCAGAGGTGATCAAATACCACCAAAAGAAAGCTCTATTTGTGTGCAAAAAAGGACATACATTTTGTTTGGGTACAGCATTGCATGACCGTGGAATTACCAGTTGAAATAGCGCAGCGTTGAATTGCAAAAAAAGGCCTGGTCAGGAAGGGGGGTAAATCCTCTGGAGGGCAAGTGGTTAGGATTCCCTGTGATGTGTATAAAGGACCCCAATTAGAGAACCAACAGTAACACTTTGCACAGGTAGTGATGAGCAAACTGAGCGAAGTTTGGTTTATTGAAAAAAAATTGAATATTTCCAAACATCAATAAAAGTCTATGGGAGCAGAATCCTGTTATTTTAGAAGATATTTTCAAGGCCTCTTTGCAAGCTTTTGTTAAAAAAGAAAACCCACAGGCACTTTTTTCTTTTTTAGTTTAGCTTAAAATAACTGTTACTGTAGATAAAAAGTATACATTTTATTCTATAATTTTTCAAGTTCAAGTTTCCACTTACTTTATGATTCTGGTATAACCATTGCAAAGTCTACAAATTAAATTATTCTTTTTTTTTCAAATTTGTGCTTTTATTAATTGTGAGACTAAAACAAATTAACAAACAAAAACTAATAAAAATTAAAAAAAAATTAAAGCTTAAGCTTAGTCAAAATTAAAAAAATCAGCATAATACTTTAGAAATCTTCTGTCCTGAACCCCCCACCACCACCACCACCACCACCACCACTGTTGCCATACTTGTCCAGAGCAACAGGGATTAATAGAGCCAAGGGATCTTTCATATGCATTCATTAGATTTTCCAACTATGCCCACACTTTCCATCCATGCCCTCTATTCATAAAAGCTGTACTATAGCTTCTATGAATGAAAAACAATCTATGAATGAAGGACAGGTAAATAAATTAAAGCTTTGCCCCCTCCATTCATAGAGTTTTTTTCATTCATATAAGCTATAGTATAGCTTTCTGGGGGATTACAAATTTTGATAAGCTCCCCACCCCCACCCCAGTCCTCCACATTCACTGGACCAGGAATTTGGGGAAGAGGCCATTGCTCTTGTTTTTAAATATCATACCTATACTACAGTGTGTGTGTGCGTTAAATGCTTTATGATTTTTTTGTGAATGAGTAACAAGGGGTACTAGGTACCCCTTACCCATATAAGGGGGAATCAAGATTCCAAGGCACCCTACAGTTGTCTACATCCACCTGCCAAGGATGTGGGGGTGAGTCCCTTGTCCTCATCAACATGCGGACAAGGTGCCTTCCCCACATTGAGGGTATGTGGCCTGGATGGTTCAGGAAGGAAGACCCCTTGCTCTTCATTCACTAAAACAAAGTAAATTAATGCACACACACTAGAGATGATACTATAGTGATCACATGCAGACTGAAGGCTTCAGCCTGCAAATGAACACTGCCATCTTCAGGCAGCAGTGAGATCCGAAAAGCCATCTATATAACAAAATTGATTCAGATACAGTTTTTTGATTCAGATACACTTTTTGTCACACAAGAGTTAAAAACCAATGCATTTTAAGAGTTGAACAAGCATCCACCTTCATGAGCGCTAAAACATAACAAAAAGGAACCACTGATGTCAACTGGAATCCTCACTCCTTTAAGCAAAGGGGAGGAATAGCAATGACATGGCCATGGCTATATTTGGCCAATGATGTCACCACCATCCCCGCCACTTACCTTATATAGATGATGACAGTTCAGGCAGCTGTCATGCAGTTATGAGTACCATCAGAATCAGCAGTGTACACCAGGTCATCTGTTTTTTTTTCTGGCTAGTCGGCAGGCAGCAGGAATTATGATTGACGATGGATTTACAATAAAATAATCAAATATTTGGAAGTTTTTATTTCTAGGTTACAATTTCTTTTTTTTTTATTTGGGAAAGAATAGTGGTACTGTGCACCCCATACTAATTCAAGTAAGAGGGAATCGGCATCTGAGGGCCTCCTTTTTAAAGGGGATTTCCAGATTCAGATAATACGCCTGCACACAGAAAACTACAACTACTGGACCAGGGTTGTGGGGAAGAGGCCCTTTTCCATGTCAACATGTGAACAAGGTCGTTTGCCAAGGGAAGTCCCCCATGGCAAGATCCCTCCCATTTTGAGGCCATATGGTTTGGTATGGTTTGGCTGCCTGCTCCATTCCAGATGGGGAG